CCACAAGAAACAACTAACATGCCTTCAGCAAATAATGCAATTGACACATCTGCAACTGATGATAAAATTAATGCATCGCAAAAAATAAATATCATGCCAACATTGGAGCTACCACAAACCCCTTTAACGCCTATTTCTTCACAATTTACTGCATCCACAACTACTCTTTCTTCTTTCCCACCCATAGAAACAAAACCATTTATTGATAAAACCGTGAAAAAATACATAATTACTATACCAGACTTTCACCCTGAAACTTATAAATATTTTCTTCGTTATCTCTACACAAATGATATTAAATTTTATTCATCTCCGGCTTATCATCGTACACCTTGGGATTTTTTTAAGATAGCCGATAAATATCTTGTAAATGAGTTAAGAGATTTGGCAAAAGCAAGGATATTAAGAGAGTTGACTCCAAATAGTGCTGTAGAAATGTTTTTCGGAATTGATTTGCTATGGGAAGATATGAAAGAACTTTTACTCAACTATTTGGTTCGAAAATGGGAATCAGTCCAAGTATGTGAGAATTGGATAAAAATTTTTAAAGAATTTGGTGAAAATGATGATAATGGAAACGGTGATGAGAATAATGAAAATGTTAATGAGGAAGAAGATAGAAAAGAAACCAAGAGAATATTATTTAATGAAATTATGGAACAAGTAAAAAATCTTTAATCAAAAATTATTGTATATATTATTGTACTATATATCTTGCATTTAGACTTTTGTTTTTTACTTGTTTATTTTTAAGCTTAAGCATTTTAAAAAAACTTTATTTAATTCTAAACTTATAGACTATTTCTTAAATTATATGCAATGTTCAAAAAATCAAAATTTTAAAATAAAAATTTATTTATTAATATTTGCAACATTTTAGTTTTAAATTACAAAAAAAAGGTTAAGTTGTTTGAAGTTGAATATTTTAATTTAATTAGAAAAACATTTTACTAAGGTGTTGTTAGACCTAAAAATTGTCAATCACGACCGTCTTTAATTTCACGTGATTAATGATATACGAAATGCGTGACCATGT